TCAATCAGACTGTTATTTCTCTGAGGCTGTACTTATTCCAACTATTTACATTTGTTTAGCAGCTTCACAGCAGAGACCCTCTAGACTGTAGCATTACTTGCAATAGAATTTGTCCTCTAAGAATAAGCACTTCTGTGTTGCCTCTTCCACTGCTTTGAAGTACCATACTAGGCATTTCTGCTTTTCATTTTGAAAGAGATTATTTTTAGTGAAGGAAGCCTGATGGTATTAATTGGGTAGACAAGCGTAGTGTGGTTCCCTTTTAACAGTTTGTTGTCAAAGTTTCCATTATGCACTAAATTTATGTGGCTGCAACTGCATTCCAACACATTTATTAACTTTGCTCGCTTGAGTATCTGCCTTTCGTACAGCCTTGTTTATCCTAGAACTTTTGACCCTTCCCAGAAACGTAGCTTTCTTGTTTGTGGCTTGATCCCCTGGAGCCGCTGCTGTGAATGGGGTAGTTGTTGACTGGGATGTTTCCAGTTGGAAAAACAACAATAGATCTTTAGTCTTCCGCGCACCAGCTCCAGACCAGTCCCAGGAGACAGCAGAGACCTTTAACTTGTTCAAACTGCTCTAACTACCTGGACAGTTTGGCTGTCGCCTCTTTCCACCGATCAGCTTTATGGAGTAGATAGGAGCCTAAGAAAGAGGGCCTTTATTTTCTCTGTATTAACAGAGCGTGTGCGGTTCGTCTCAGAAGTCAGTAGCTCGCGGGCTAGCAGTGTTTTCAGCGCGAGTCATAACTCCTTTCTGGTCTGCGCAGCTGCTCGTTTAACTCAAGTGAGAAATCGGATTTTGTTTTCAGTAGCAGCAGGGGTTGGCGCAGGCCTTTTGTACCGCTTTGGGGTCCCAGGGGACGCTGCAAAGGGGGGGCAGCAGCAACTGCCCTCCCTCTTGCCTTCTAGGTCTTTGGAATGGAACGTAAGAGCCTCTGTTCTGGCAGGGCTAAGATGGAAACTTATTTTTCAACTTTATTTTATTCCCTCTAAGAAAATATCACCATGACTGAGAAGGCAGTTGTGGTTCTTCGCTTGAACAACCAGATTGGGAGCGTCTTACAAGACGGGTTTCTCAAGAATATGAAAAGTCAGGGATTTGAAGCCGAAAACAACACCTTAGTTGATGCGTGGCAAGTGTGTGCCTAAGCCACGGGCAAGATTACCACCTCCCAAGGAGGGAGAGGGTTTCCTATTAGCAGACTCCAGGTGCTGAAAGTGGATAGCTAATTCAATAGTAAATTGTCTGACTTCAGGGCAAATGCTGAGACTGCTGTTGCGGTCTTGTTTCAGCTTATCTTGTGTATGAATTCTTATAGGCACAGGCAATCTGTCCTGTTGTAACAGGATAGAAACACGTAGATTTAGGACTACAAGCTGGCTGTGCTTCCAGGCTAGGAAATTGTCTGGTGGAGTGCAGTGACCTGGAAGCAGGTACCATGAACAGCGTACAGAGTTTCTCATGTAAAACTGTAGCTAAAAAGCCAAGTACTCCATGGAGGCAGACGAACATCACACTGGGCATTATTCCTGCGTACGGTGTGAGCGGGATTGCTGTTTAGAGTAGAGCCTCTGCTTAAGCAGGTCACCCCTTTCGTGGGGATATATACAATTCTGCAAGGATCCAGAGGATCACACAAAAACGGGAAGCGAAGAGCAAAGCTCATGTGAAGGTAAATTGCAGTTTATTCGAAACAAAATAAGCAAGCTACTACCATTGTTGTAGGTAGGAGGCAGAAAATCAAGTAATTCCAGTAATGGCTTTTTGAATGTAATAGGAAAAAAGGAGCAATGAAATCCAGTGGCTGCACTGGTGTTAATCCAACTAAATACAGGCTATACTTTTGTGTTTTTTTTCCCTTCTTTCCCAATTGATGAGGCTAATTAATCCACCTGCAGTTGCAAGGCCATACAGTTACAGGGTTGATAGAGGATTAAACATGTTAGGAAATTGTTTCCCCTTGACTGATAATACTAATGGCTGAGACCTTGTTTAAGAGGTTACAGTTCTTTCTACCCCCTTCATTTTTTATGCATCTTCCTTGTCTCATTTTCTCATGGTTTATTTTTCAGCAATATAACCTAACTTTGGCCTTCTCCATGCTACTGACAGTAGTCATTTTTAACTACCCTATCTTCTCAGACCATTACTGCATACCCCTTGTGACTGTCGAGATGTGTTTTTTCACTAATAAAAACTCCAGGTTCTTACTAATCAGAGAGATCAGTGTTATTGAATTTTGTGTGGGGTTTTGCTTTGCTGGTGCTGTGTTCCTGTAATCACACAAATCAACCAACGGTGTTTTCAGAAAAACAGTTGCGCAGCCTAGTCCAACAAACGTTTATGTAGCACCCTACACTACACTGCGGTGTCCTCCCTGCCATTTATGATTTTGCAGCTTCCCATTCTTTAAAAGATCCTGTTGAGATTGCTAGCTTATTAATAAGTGACGTGTAAATTTGCTTCTGTTGCTATCCCAAATCTTGTCTTTTTTTTGTGTGCTTTCACTGACATACTAGTAAATTCTTTTATGTCTCTTTGCAATCGCTCTGCTCCTTCCAATAGGGCCTTCTCTGTGTTTCCTGCCATTAGAAAGACCTTACTGTGTATCGTTCTTCCTCCCAGTCACTTTAAATCTTACTGAAAAATCTCTTCCTCATCATTCTGCTATTTCTCTTGCTAGCCACATTTTGTTTACATGTGAAGCTTTAGAGCAAATACTTTATGTAAAAGGTACTACATATTGTCATATACGAGAAGAAGAACCAGTGGAGAAGGATTATCTATCAGCATTTTGTGTTCTTGTGCTAATACTGCTGTTAGGAAGTCAGTGCAGCTTTGTGTTTCTGCTCCTGCGATCTTTCTCTTATTTCAGACAGCTGATGCCACCTTCAGTGTCTCCGTATGATGATGATTCTGGACATCACTGAGTGGACGCATCTGATTGCCTACAGAATACCACTGATGAGTTTTGAAGAAAAAGCAAGTCGCACAATTTCCAGAGTGGTAACCTAGCGTCTTTTTCTAAGAGAAGCAGGTGTGGTGGTACTCAGTCATTCCCAGGTATATGTACTATTCCAGGAATGACATCTGGCAGTACTTTTTCCCTTACGCAGCTGCTTGCCTGCTGTTGCTAAGTTGAAAGGTGAATGAGTTTAAAATGGAAACTGGAGCCCGAGACTGCTGAATTCATTTCAGCAATGATTCAGACTGAGGCACAGAAACAATATTTGTGTAATTAAAAGTTGTTCTGACAACCTAGCCCGTGCAGCTGCCAGAGCTGAACTGCTTGTGGTTGCCTGAAAAATGGCTTTAGCACAGTCACGTTGTCAGGGCATTCCATTAATTGCTCATGTTTTCTCAGGCTGAACACTAGATTCAGCATGTGTCTATTGTGTCTCGGAGCATATTTTAAGGTGAGGCATACCTTGCCACAAGAGCTTCCTCCTCGACCCGTAATGCCCAAGTCAGACTGCCTGCCATTCACAATGGACGAGTACCCCTGTTGGTAGGAGAACGTAACCTTTCTGGACATCAGCAGAGCAGTCCAAGGTGATGGGAGAGCATGTGGTCACTGAAGCAAGTATTTGCAGTCCACACCATTTCCAAGAAAGATTTTTTCTGAGCTCCCGCACTCAGAGATGGACAAGTTGTGTCATGTGGTTCGGTTACTTTAGTCCTCCGCTGGCCCTTGTTGGAGATAAACGTAACTTTTATGCCCTGCTGCGTTTGGTCAGTAGGCAGAACGCTGCTCTGAACCTGACTGCATTTCTCTCCGAAAAGCTATCTCAGATTAATCCCAACACTGTTATTATATTATGGCTGCCCATGTCTCATGCTGACTGGTAATGCTTATACAGCGTAAACAACAGGGTAGCACTGCGAGGGGCCGCAGGCAGCGTCGTTCCCACAGGCCGGCTTTCAGTGGCAGGTCTTTCTGTACGTCTAAGTCCCTGCACACTCTGAAAGCAGTGGAGCTTCTGTGATTTATACAAACCAAGTCTCTCTAATGAGGAATCCTTTAATACATGTACTTTTGAGAGAAATGTGTTACTAAGTCCCTTTTCCTCGTCTGATACCTTTTACATGGAAAGTAAGCAGTCCCTGCGTTTTGACGAAAGAGCATCTGTTGGAGAATTGCCTGTTTCTTTTTCCAGGTGACCTGCCTTTGGGAAGCGTGTTCTGTCTTGACAGCAGTGAGTTTTGCTCAGGCTTCAGCCAGATTCTTGAGGCAAATTCAAGGGAGAGCAGTGTCTCTCTCATCTTGTTTTTTCTGTCCTGTTTTTAGCTGGTATGTTACCTGTAGTTATTCCTGATGTTAACAAAGAGGAGTGAAGACCACCATTATTGTTTCACACCTAAGTCAAAAAGGTATGGATTAAGGAGTTTTTAAAACAGCTTAAAATTAGAAGCCCTTTAAAAGATTCAGTGAGAGTAGTGCTTTGGAGTTGTTCTTGCCCTAAAAATAATAATAAAGTAGATCGAAAATATTTTCTTTTTCCCCCTCAATCGATAATTAAAAGGAACCCGCAGACTTAAGTGGTTTGTTTTTCAAAAGGTGCGTCACAGAAGAAAATTAATGAGACAATTAGCTTTGCTTTTCCTCTAACAACAAACAAGAACAAAACAGGTGGTGAATACTTAAATCAGAGAAAGTCTGGTGTAGTCAGAGTACGAGCCAGGACCTGCAGCTCTCAGGGCAGCAGTAATGCTCTCAACCGGTGTGGCCAGCTTGCCACCTGCTGTGTCCCAAAATCACTTTGGTGCCACAGCACCCCAAGGGGACATCCTACTAAAACAGGTCCTTGTCAGCAGTGTAGAGGAGACAATTCTGAAGAAGCTGGTGACTCAGTATTCGTTCTCTTTTAATTAGAGCCCACTGATAATGTTGCATGTCAACATTAAGAAATATTATTTAATAAGCAGAGCAACTCGGTGTTTCCAGTCAAACACAGGAGAATTTTCTCTAATGTTGAATCAGGTCACACTACAGCTGGTTGACAAACACTGCATATATTTACTGTAAATTAAACAACAACAACAACAACAGAGAATTGCATACTCTTAAAAGCTCAAATTCTCAAAAGCTCAAATTGCTGCAGAAGTCACACAGCCATTCCTCCTTTCTCACATGCACTACCTTTTGATCCTTTCACTTCCTAGTCCTCTCTCTGCCACTGGGGGAGCAGATTGCGCGTGGATATTCCGAGAAAAACACTGCAGTACACAGAGGTGGATGTCCTAACACTGAAAGCACGTTGCTCAGGTCACGTTAGCGAAAGACGTAGGGGTGAGTTGGGAAGGCAATAAGGAGAACTGGGAAGGGGCATGAGAGGCAGGAATACTGGTTGGTATCTAACTCTTTAATCCTCTACTGCAGAAAAGAGGAAGAAAGGAATGAAGCTGAAAACAAGAGAATGGCAGATTCCGGAAATGAGAGAGGAAGAGAAAAAAATAAATAAATAAACGTAAGGGAATTAAAATGGCGCAATGGGAGAGAAAGCAGGAGGAACTACCACAGAGTGAGGCAGTGAGACACATTTCAAAGAAAACTGGATGCAGGAGTGTTGCAGTTAAGTTTGATGGTATGTAGGCTCATGAGGTATATCTGGCTGGGCTGGAGGGGAGGAAGCAATGCCCTTGTCTGTACCTGAGTACATTCTTATCAGGATGACTGATAGATCTAGTTCATAGACATGAAAGGCATGCTCGAACACATGGCTTTCGTTGGCTGAGAGTCAGGGATGGTGGGAAAGGTGCTTGCACACGCCCCTGTGGCCTGAAGGAATCCCCTCCCTCACCTCCTAAAGTAAAATTAACCTGAGGAAACAAAGCATGCCTGACGTGTGAAAAAACCCTCTTTCTACTTACTGCTCGGATGCTGTGACCCCAAATTTTTACCATTGTTCAAAAGGTCCTTCTCCTCCGATGAATCCTAATGGTAACAGTCAACGATATATTCATGTTTCCCCTTCAAGTATCTATACTGATGGCATCTGTCTCTGTGACTTGGCTTTCCTTGCCCAGGCTGCCTCTTTGTTGTTCTCTCTCTAGAGAAGTGATGTCATTTCATTGGTAAAGCAAGACCAACTCTCCAGGCAAGCCACAGACTGTTGGCGCAGGGTGAGAGACGTTGGCCTTCCAGGAACGTTCTCCATCAGAAACGCAGTCCGTTCTTGTAGCAGTTCCTCTCACCGTTCTCTTATTTGGGTTCTTCTAAATGCTCATATGTAGGCTTTGCTCTTCTGCTCCCTACCACCAGAAAGCTCTGTGCTCTCTTTCTTGGGATGGAAGTATTAAGCTCTGTCTTAGTGGTGGGGAAAGTGGTGCCTCCAGAGATGTTTTTAGCTGTTCAGATATATTATAAAGGTAAGAACCCATTCAGCATTTGCAAGAGATTAGAATGTTTTATATGAAACTAGAATATTTAATGGGAAGGGGAAGAAAGGAAGGAGAGCATACCAAATGTGGCTTTTCGACTTTCGGGGGTTTTGTTTGTTTGTTTGTATTGATCGTTCTTTCAAATCTATATGAATGCCAACACTGAAAGGCTACACTCCTGTAGTTTTTTCTGGAAAAACTGTAGGTTCAAACATCTATCCAAGACCTCCAGATAAGTAAAATGGAGAAAGGTGAGACATAGCTGCCAGGGGTCACTGTTTTGTTGCCTGGTGGGCAACATGAGCAGCTGGTCACAACGTGCTTGGTGCTCTGGGATTAAGAATTCTGTTGTACATTCACTGCAAGCCAGAGGATCTCAAAGGTAATCCACTGTAGATGGGATTGAGGACGATCAGGGTAGAAATGGCTTCGTAGGTCTGCGTATCTTAGTGTGAGAGAGCCATCAGTCTAGTGCCATCCCCGCTGTCACACAGATTTTGTCTTCAGTAGCTTTGGATCTTTTGTATTGAGTTTTTGTAATTCTGGTCAAATTGCAGACTTGATTAAGTCATTGTGCCTAAGCTGTCCAGGAAGTCTGCTGCTTAACCCACTCCTGAATCAGATGGTGAGCAATGGCCTGCTTGGGAGGGAACCAGGGTAAAAAACTACCATCCTCTTGTTTTGAAGATTCGTGGTCTCTCTTGAGAACCTCCATGATTTCTTCCAGGCCAAACCAACGGGCTGCCTCCAGTTCCAGGCTGCTCATACTGATCTGGAAGGAATTCAGAGAGTACCAGTTGCTTAAATCAGATTTAAATGTGGCCAGCAGAACCTTGCTTATTCTTATACCCACAAATATCCCAGGCTGCAATGCCCAGAGTGTTTAATCCGCTCCTGAATTAAGTGTTGATGCCAAAAGGATATTGCTGATCACCAGTGTTCTGTGGTCTTGGTTTCCTTAGGAAAGCCCTAAATCAAGTAGCCATTGTAGCACTGGCCTACACAATACAATACCAGTGGCTGAATACAATCATTAACACAGCAGAAACTGTATGTCCCACTAGAAATGTGATATTAATAGTAGACAGAAGTCTCATCTGCAAAGTTCAGAGAAGAAAAAACACAGGAGTGTTGGGCTCTGGGCTTGGATTCATATAGTGACCTGGGCAAAATCTGGCACATTGCAACAGAAGATGATGTTTTTAAGCTTGCTCTTCACTTACAGAAAGCTGATTGAAAACTGCATTGAGAGAGGATTTGACACTTTCCAAACTAAAGTCTGTGGACTGAAAGAGACTTCACTATGGAAGGTGAATAGTGAAATGCCTCAGGGGGACTGCTCACCTCAGTCTGCTGTGCCCTCACCAATGCATGACACGCTATCATTAGGCAGCTGCTGGGAAATGGCCAGTGCTGAGATGCTGAATACCGGAACGACTCCACCTCCAGGCCCACCTCTTCTGCCACCTCTCGTCGGAGTGCCTCCTCCACAGTTTCACCTAGAAGCAACCAAAGGTAGGCAAGGGCAGCCTGGCCTCAGGGCTGTGAACCGTGGCAAGGGAATGTAGGCACGCTCATTTCAAAGGCGTTCCAGCCCTGACTGCTCAAGCAGGATCTGTGGCTGTGCTGACCTGGGAACGTTGCTGTCAGCAGGATGCAGAATTGAATCCATCAACAATGCTTACCTGCCCTGAAGGGAGACACCAGGGTGAGCTGGTTTTGTATACGTACAGCAGATAGACGGAACAACGCTGCTCCTCTTCATCGTTTTCCTTTTTAAGCTATTTTCCCTCCCGTAATAAGTAGTCTGTTATTGGGGGGGGGGGGCTGGTTTTTTTGTTTGTTTGTTTGTTTTTCCATCCGGTCTGCACTAGACACAAAGTGGACTAAGCGTCCTGGGTTCCAGTTGGTGAGTGTTATATCTGCAGTTAGTATCAGGGACTGGAGCAACTGATACACCCCATAATTTTCCCATTCTCTTCAGATATATGGAGCTATTTTGAGTTCTGTCTGAACGGCAACGCCGATCTACTTAGGTCTAACACCTTTTCCCCTGATATCGTTTATATGTGCCCATCCTCCTCTGAACAGGCTTGCAGTTGGTGTCCCACAGTTCTGCCCCAAGCCCTGCACGTCTTGAGGCCACAACACTGATCAGAGACTGCCTTACCTAGGTCACAGAAGCCTGACAGAGCAGTGTACATCCCCGGAGGAAACGATGGCTGTCGTGCAAGGAGGCACCGGCTCCCATCAGAAACCAGGGTGATGACCACTGGAGACATCTATCAAAGGCATCGAAAAGCAAAGCAAGGAGTTCAGACCAAACAAGTGAGTGCAGACTGTTGCTTTTCCTAGCCATTTGGGGTCACTGGATGAACACTGAAGAACAATTGCCCAGCTACACAGAAAGCGCTCCTGCTGCTTCTTAAGATTCCCCTTCCTGCAGCCCAGGAGTGTTGGCTTGCCACCGCAAAGACCTTGTGTTGCTTACCTTGCTGTTCAGATGCTCACCTGGGGATAGTAAATTATTCCACTGGCATGACAGACACGCTTGCTGCCAGCTACGTTTTTGTGAGTGGGCTGCCCAGTTTTGCTACAATACTGGTGGGAATCATGCCACTGGAGAAGGGCCTGGGCCTGTGAATACCAAGAGAGGAATGCAAATCAATTTACACGGGAGGCAGTCAAGGCAGTCTCCCCGAGTGATACTTTGCTCTGTTCTCGCTGGCGTGCAGTCACATGGATAAACTGCGATCACATTTGCAAGCCTCAGAAATGTATATGTAATTCTGGCATTGCTTTGAAAAAAGGTTGATCCTGCAGGCAGTACTTCACGCTTCTTGCTTTAGCGACCAAATTTCAGTATGTTAAGGGGAGGTGGGGGAAGAGTCGTTCGATACTGGGATACAGAAGGGGGAGTAATGGGAACTGAACTGTTCTAAGCAGTCTCCAAACCTGACTGGCTTCTTGAAATATAGCTCACGCACCACAGACATTATACAGCAGGAAGAGAAACATGAGCTATTTCTACTTATGGGTAAGGGCAGCTGATTTTCACACACAAGTCTTTTCATAGAGCTTCCAAACATAGGACATCTGCAGAGTAACAGCTTATAAGGGAGCAGTTTTAAAAGAGCAGCTCTGAGAGAATATCTGTAGGTTTCTTCTTGACATTCGGTTTGCCAGGAAGATTACAGAAAATTGGTGCCTGGCAGTTATTAAGCTGGGAACGGATAGGAATTGCTGTGACTACTGCAACTGTTAAGATTACTATATTTCACACTGAACATATAGCAGGTTAATGCTAAATGGCTAATTACTGCAGTCATTTGTAAGCCACTTGTCTCTTTCCATCGCATCTTCCTTTTGGGAGAGCAAATTTGAGAAAGCTGCTGTAATTTATAGTGTGTTTTGTACCCAGTTCACTGAAAAGGTACAGTAGGTACTTCCACAATACATGCTAAATCATAAAACGAATATGGGAGATGAGGAAAAGGGCTGATGTGAGAAATCATAACTTTCTGCAGTGAAAAATCCTGAACCATACCGAGGCCAGCAAAGGAGAATCCTTCTCATCCACTACAAAGAGAGCCTTTCGTATGTCAGTAAACGATCCCTCGAGTTCAGACTCGATGACTGATTTCTCCAAGGCTCCTGTAACAAAATAAAATCTCTGATGTCATAAATTGCAGTTACTATCCCAACTTTACACCCCTCATTGTGCCGGTATACAATTTCTGGAAGTTCCCATGGAAGTGACATCACATCAGCGGTAACACATTTCAAAATATTAAGTGACCTACAAACAGCCCATCTTTACTAAAATACGCAGAGGAAGAAGAGTGCAGTTCGGTGGCTCTGACACGCTTGACGCTTGCAACACCTCCAGCAGAGGACCAGACAGAGGGTGTTTTAGCAGTAAATGTCACCCAGCGAGGACTAAGCGTGCTGCCTAGGCAGCATCTCCATTTCAATTAACCCAAAGTGATGCCGACATGGATGGAAGAGGAGTCATCCCAACCTAAATCCAAGGCAAAGTGTGGTATGTGCTCGTCTGAACAGCCGATCAGCACCGACTTCTCTATCCACTGTTCAGTCTCTCTGAACTTCTCCAGGATCCTCTTCATCTCTAAACAGCAGGAGAAAGGGGAAGAGAAAGCTGTGATGAAAATGAATGTATACAACCATCATGTTCTACATCTTTGAGGTGCTCACAGTCTTGGCTCAAGGCAGGGCGCAGGTGTGAGCGAGCGACCAAGCAAGAGGTTCCATGCTGATAGAGACCAAAAGTCTGGCTTTTCCCCTAACTGTTAGATCTTTCAACCACCACATCAAGCTAAAGATGCAAATGCTTTACTGCTTGTGGAGCAGCTGTCTGCTGTTTCTCCTCTACGCCGGCTGATACCTTTCTCACAAAAAAATCTTCTGGGTTATGCCAGATCACCTCCTCCGTTTGTCAGTAGACCTTGTTGTTTGTTTTCCTGCCAGCCCTTTCTCTTCAGAAGACACGGTCCCAAATGTTTAAGTGTTCCTTTCAAAACAGATCAGGCGTATGTTGATACCCTCCGTATGTGCAGAGCATAAGCTTGTGTCCACATGCAGAGCCCTTTAAATAGTCTTTTGTTGGTAACAAATAGCATGCTGCAAATAATGGGATGTTCCTGCACAGCTTGATAGATTTTTCAAGCCCCATACAAGGGGTTGCTTATTGCAAAGGAGCCTGTATCATCTGAGCTGCCTGATCCAAGAAATGTTTCTTGCTGGACACCTGCTTACCTGTTGCACTTAGCTGTGGTACCAAATATTTCCTCCCAGCTTTCTGCAGGAAGGGGGAGAGATTGTGAAAGAGGGAGAAAGTTCCTGAGGTCTGGGCTTGTCTGCAAAAGCTGTCATCTTCTTTTAGCTCATTTAAGTATCTGCAGTAAGAAAAGAATTGGGAATATGAATGCAAGATCCAGTTGAGATTACATGTGCCACACTTATTTGGACACATTTATTTTGGGCAAAGCAGTGAGGCAGAACAGACAGTACAGATCTTGTGCGTTATACGTGCTTGCAGAGTCTTATACAGCGGAGTCTACTCATTGGTGGGCTGTAGCTTAATGAAGGTGCTGCGTAGGCAAGAAATACTCCCTACTACCACACAGGCAGCCTCTCGAGTCTTGGACATCCAGTCTTTTTATGCCCAAGCTCTGCTTTATGGACATGATCATCTGTGCGCAGGAAATCTTGACCTTCCCTTTTATATCCCCCCTCTGGATGGCTCCAAGTCCTGTTTGACCGAACGTACTACTGAACACTTCAAATGTTGACTATACTTCCCGTCAGGCTGCGTGGATTATTAGAGAGTACGTTCTACCTGCCACGCTGACTCGGGATGTAAAAAGCAAGCTGAAATCTCAGGGCCAAAGTGGATGGGGCCTGAGCTAGGAAAAATCAGTCGCTGGAAAAAGGCTCTCAGAAGGTGCTTCTTTCAGGCTGCTTGAAGTAATATTTAACATGGGGTGAGCAGCGACACTTCATTTCTGCCTTGTGTTTTAAGAGGTCTTTAGACAGCAAGCGTAGGCATTAATTTACAGAGTTTCAGCGCAGAGCTCATGCACCATTACTGTATGACCAGTGAACTGTTACAAGACTAACCCCTGGCTTAGATTTAGGTAGGGTTGCTTGTGACAGTGGACACCGCAGTGCCAAACTCTGGTCTTTTCACTGTAGGCAAGAATTAGAGGAGAACTTACCTCATTTTCCTAACATAAGTAGAGTGTAACCTGCAGAAGAGAGAGGAAGCTCTTCTATATGCTGCTTGATAAATCACAGCCATAATCAATACCTAAGGGTAGCTGTCTCTGCCTAAAAAGAGAAGCACAGAGTGTAACGCAGCGGCTCTGCAAAGATGAGTCTCGTTTAAACGGTGCAATATCCCAGGGCTACCAGAAATCTCCCTCTCCCAAGGAGTCTGCAGAACGCTGGCATTTGCTTTCTAAAATGAGCACTTTGGGTCATAGTGCAGTTTCAGGCAATTTATAAAGACAGTTTGTTTCCTGCTGTGAGTGTGCACAGAAGGTCTTACAGAAATTGCTGCAGGTCAAATAGCGCTGTCCTAAACTCCTGTATCACTGGGATAGAGAGCAGCGAAGGTAGTTGCTCTCATTTGTTTCCTACACAGTTGTAATGGTCTCAATCCAACTGAACCTCCTATTGCAGCAAACAGCAGATCTGTGGGAAAGGCAGTGAGGCCAGAAAAGAAGGAAAGACAAAATATCAGCTGCAGAAGAGAACTCCATGAGTTAGATGAAAGATAGCAGTTGCAGCTGAATTGGATCATCTCCAACTAGGAATATGTTTTGTGCCAAAGGAGCCTACCGCGTTTTCAGCTCAGGCAATCGCAGACTGCCATTTGAACTCAGCTTCAGGACGTCAGAAAAAATAACCAGGAACACTGCTATCGCTGGTATTTTTCTGAAACAAAAATGAACTATGATTAATAGTCCTTAACAAGTAGTTTGAATGTGCCATTCTGAAGCCCTTTAGGAAGGAAGTTACGTTTGCTTTGTTTTACAGAGACACGTATGCAGAGCTAAGGAAGAGCCTGCGAGCCTTGCCTTGCAGTGAAGGTCAGTGATGGCTCTCCAGGCTGGGTGGTGCCTAAGCAGAGGCTCCTGTCCTTCAGGGCAGCCAGTTTCTGTAGCCAGCAGCACGGAGGAGAGAGGTACTGCTGGTGCTTTGTTTTGCGGCTTCTGACATCTCTGCCCCAGAGGCCTCTTTCCCACCGGGTCAGCTGAGGGTGGTCTTCACCAGGAGCCCGGAGCAAGGCAAATCCCTAGGGAGAGCCGTGAGCCAAGCCGCTGGGGAGAGCGGCGTCCCTGCTCGCTCTGCAGCTGCAGCAATGGGAACTTGGCACGCTGCCTACCGGATCCGGCAGGCGCAGGCGAGGACCGCAACTGTCACAGAGACCGTGTCTGAAACAATTTTGTGGTGCGGTGATTACGTGGCTGTGATCTCTCCACCCCCACTTCTCATATAGCCCAGCTTGTTGAAAACCTCCAGCACGGCAGCCAGCGTTGACTCGAGGAGGAGTCTGCAAACGGCTCTGCACTTTGCTCCAGAATGGGCAGCCTTGAAGGCATGCAGGATGTGACCAGGAGAGGGAGAAAAGGAATAAACTGTTCCTGGAACAGTGAAATGCAATGCATGTTTAACCCCTTCCTTCATAGGAACCACAATGCTAGATTTTACTAAGGATTATTAAGAACTTGGCGACAGATTGCAAACTTGCATCTCAGGCTAGCCTAAACTGTCCTGCCTTCCCTGCCAATCCTATCTATGTCCCACAGCCCTCAGGAGGTGGATCCAGGCCTGTGACTTCCCGCACGTTTCCCCCACTTACTGTGCTCCGTGCAGAAGGAGCGCTATCTCCAGAAGCGTTAAGAAAAGTTATAAAAGTCCCTCGTCGACCTCAGCTGGAAGCACAAATCCCGCGGGACACAGAGGAGCAGCTGCCCGTGAAGCTGCCCCACGGTTTTGAGCAGACTTTGCCGTGGCGCTTCCCTCCGTGGGAGCTCTGGGAAATGTAGTTCTGCGGAGGCTGCTGGGGAACACTGGCCAAAGTTAGATGGCTGACGCGTCGCCGCTTGCTCCTGCCTTAACCCTTTGGGTTTGCTTAACTCCTTGCATTAGTGAGGCTGCCTGAGAGTAGCGTCTTTACTTTCCACAGCTGCTTCATGCGGCAAGGAAGCCACGTGCTGTATTTTGCCAAACAAGAGAACAATGCTGCTGCAGTTCGATCCGTTCTCGTAGAGCGCGGGAATTTGTTCCCGTTTCTTCCTGTCTTTTTGGGGGTTTTTTTGCAAGCTTCTCTCTCTCTCTCTTTTTTTTTTTTTTTTTTTTTTGTATCTGAAACACAAGAGCATTGCTTACAGTTAAGATTCATACTCCTCTTTGTGTCTTGGAGCAGGAAAGCATGCCAAGAGCTGTGTCCATCTGATGGAGCTGTTTAGCATGCAAGCACCTGAGCCCGCAGTTGAGTTTGGAAGTGAATAGCCCTGATTGGACAGTGCACTTTGCCAAGAGAGATGTCAGAGTAGTGACAAATATTTTTCATACCTTTATAACCGAACAAGTACTGAACACTTTATTCTAGGCTGGAACCTATATGCCTCTCTTTAGCATAAAGAGAATTTTACAAACATCTAAGTGTTTTCAGGGCCACCACATTTTGCTTTTTGGTCATGAATTAAGGCATGCTAGAGGAGAAATGATGTCACGTAATTTGAGAGCATAGCTTTCAAAAATAATAAACAGGATATGCAAGGAAATAGCACTCGTTACCAGTGTTACTTACAAGCTTAAGTTTAATTATGCTTGACTGCTATTTATGTGCTTCCTGAAACAGAATAAGCCCTATCATATTAATCCACTAGGCTAATTGGATTAATGGAGAAAACACATCTTCTCTTAATAAGATAAAAGATTGAAGTATAATCCCCAAGGGAAATATCCACCCTGTTGTTAAACTAACAGAGCTATTGACCCTAACTGCCCTCAGAAATGGATCTTGCAGCAAGAGCTGGTTTTAGAGGGAAGCGTCGGGGAAGATACCCAAAGTATCTCCAAGATACCCAGGTAGCTTAGACCTTAAATCTTGGGACACTATCTCAACTTTCTTCAGCCCAAAGGGTTAGGTCATTTTATAGGCACACCCAGAGCATAAAGCTGCAACCAAAAGCTTCCTCTGAAGGCAGTGCAGTGCCACAGGCTTTTGCTGCTAGATGCAGCTGGCGGAGATCACAGATTAGGCTCATCCTGTATGCCTGGCCTCTGCACTGCGTGGAGATCTGCAGAGTAAGTGAGATTGGAGTCACTCTTGGGACTGTGACCTGGTAGGTGGGAAGCCGTGACGTGTATGAGAGAGTCCACGTGTCTTTTCCAAGGGTCTGTACACCTGCTTGTGGTAGTGCATTGCTCAGTTAAATATTTCAGCAGCACATAAGCAGGGGAGATCATTTTGAAAATGACAGAGGCTTTCTCAACATTTACTCGTGTAATTATTTAATTTAAGGAGTACAAATGTCGGTTGTCACCTTGGCGCTGAGGTGGCTCTTTGTAAGTTTTTTCAGGCTGGGCTCTGAGCTGTGTGAATTGCACCCATAAAGCGTGTACGTTGTATTTGTTCTGCAGGCATTATACTGCACGCTAGGAGCAATCCTGTGAGTTAAGCAGAGGCCTGGACATACAGCTGCGTCTCTGATAGTAGCTTCCTGTAGCTTCCTGATTTGAACTTTGTCAGGCCACCAGAGGAAGTGAGTCCCTAAGACTCTTCGGATGCAGGAAGAGCAAACAGAAGTAGCAGGCAAGGAAGCCGCAAGCAGCGGGAACCAACACGTGTGGTCTCTTATACAGTGAACGCTGCAAAAACAGGCAAGTCTTTGCTCCTGCTACCCTTGCTTCAATTTTTCATGCCCTTTTCTGCTGAGATTACCAAAATTATCCAAAAAAGGGAGTAGATAAAAATAAACCTGAGATTCATCTCTATCTCTATGGAAAGGAATTGGCTGTTAAATAACTTTCAGGACCTGGAAATGAGGATGTGGAGGAGAAGCCCAAACAGTACAGGGCGTGTGGGTAAGAGAGAACACGTATCGATTTGGCTGTGGCTTTGCGTTGATTTGATGGTGTGGTTTTGGACTGGTGAGTGGTTTTGACTTGGTAAGCAAAGAGGTAGAAATTACTTAAGGTGTAGGTATATGTGTTCTCTTGCTTGCAGATGATGTTATTCATGAGAGAAGTATTTGGAAACTGCACTGATTAGCTTAAATGAATTATAACTAATTGCCTCAGATAATTAGTGTTTGGCTAGTTCTGCCTTGTAAATGTCATTGCTAGAGGTTTTTTTTATTATTGGGTTTATTAAACATTATTAGTAATATTAGCAGTCGGTAAAAAGACTTTCAAGCCAAAGAAGTGGTTGAAAAACGTGACTCTAAGCTAGTAATGATTATACTGGTTACCTTGCTTTTTCTTGCCGTTTTATTTTGTACCCCTCCAGCTGCCCCTAATAAGCAGAAACATGTATGGAACTGCTAACAGCTGACCTTTGCAAAATAGCTGTTAATTACTTGCTTTAAATACATATGGCTAGCCATCTCCCGCTGAAAACTTATGGTCAAGCCACAAGAAACTTCTTGGTAGAAAAAGAATTCTTTTTTTAGTGAGAGGCCAAGGAAAGACAACCCACTTTAAAGAGAAGGCTAATGAGTAGCCTCTCCCTCTGCTATTAAACTTTAGATGCAAAGTAACCAAATCTGGCTTTGCTCTAAAGTTAGACTGTAGCCTGTATTAGGTATGCAAGGGGCTTCTCCAGCTGCCACACTTGGGGCGGGTGGACCTTGGAAGAGAGGAGCTGTCTGGTTTTATCCTGCTCATTATAATCTATGCTTCTAACTCTTGCACGGGTGTGGAGAAGATGTTTTCACGTCTGAGATAGATCTAAGGTAAATGACATCTTAGAAGGATTTGTTCGTGTCAGCTCCTTGGGACAGCGTATGTATTTTTGCCTCTTGCCCCCAACCTGCCTTTGCTGATGATTAGAAAAGATGCGGTTTGCTGTGTTACACAGAATAATTCATTATAGGGTCCAGCTGCTTGATTGCAGGTAATGACTTCACTTTTTCAGTGGTTTAGTCTGCATGCGCTGAAACGAAAGCACTGTGTGAAACCAGATGAGGCTTCATCTGTTTCTGAAGGATAAGCCTAAGTTGTTAATATACTTGAAAGCAGTTAAGCAGTACCGTGAGCTAACTGCGATGACTAGTCTGCATCTTAAACGCTGTTTGCGGGTCACGGCCTGTTGTCTCTAAAAGGATATGGAAGGACTGGAAAAGGTTCAGTGAGCGCAGCAGGGGCGTCCCTGGTAAGGGACGGTGCAGCTCTTACGTAAAAGGTGTTCTACCCACAAACAGTTTTAGCTAAGGGGGAGGCAGGAGAAATGCTCAACAGGCAACTCTGTTGAGGGTTACTAAATAGACCAGATAAAGCTGAGGAAACCCCTAAGCTAAAAGTGCTAGAGGCTGTGATAGTACTCTGGGCAGCTTTCTACCTATATGAGCTAGATGAAGCTTTGGTGTGAGCCGTCGCGATCACTCTCATTAGGCCGCTTGGGCCTTAGTCTTGTTCTGGGTTGACCTTTCCTCCAGTATCCTTTCAGTTTAGGACCTCCAGAGTACTTCTGTGGGATTGCTCAGAAAAGAAACTGAATTGTTAGGCTTGTATTTGCAACAAAGGAGTCAGTGTTTCTACTGGAAAACACATAGGCGCCTGTACATCCAAAAGAAAGTCCGAAAGCCGCTTGTTCTTCTGTTGTTCTCTCCCAACAAGCGTTCCTGTTGCGCTTGTCCTTAGAGATAGGAAGTGTTTCTTAACAAAGTGCTAAAGTGACAAATTGTTCCCCCAAGGCCTGCTTGAAGCCGCTTACGCCGTCGGCGTTCAACAGCAGGCGATAATGCACAAGACCAGCGTAGAGACTTGCAAGCAAAGTTTTATCCTGACTGGAGCACCAGTGACTGTGCTGGAGTCGTGGAAGGTGGGACAACGTGAGTAAGTACTGTTTATCTCAGGGGCAGAAAGCACTGATAAGGGGCAGGAACAGGCTTGTAGAGCAAGGCGATTGTACAACCATTGGGAAAAGCCCTTGATTTGGGTGCTTGGTATACGTCAAACTCCTGGGCTCCTTTTGACGCAAAGCTCCTAGCCTTTGGCCCCATGCTGACAAAATACAAGCAAGCCTGCTACTACACACGCTAATAAACTTGCTTTTGTTGGAGTTCCCCACTGTCTTTCTGAAAAGCGCAAAAGAAAGTCTGATGAAGAAGTATATGGAAAGCAGTGAATCCCCCTAGGAAGGATCTGAATGGCTACAGCGTGTGAGGTTTCCCCAAATCTCTAGAAGCTGCTGTTAAATCTCAGACTAGATATCATGGACTCTTTGGATAATAAGGCTTTAACTAGATGCCTCAGCTAGAGGCTTGTATATCATTCCAGTGTTTCCTGCCAGTTGTAGGAGTTGTATTTCTGTTGGAAGACGACCAAGATGAGAGGAAAGGAAGGCTTATTCTTGATGGATAGTTCCACTAAAAACTGGCCTTCTTCCTACTCGGGCGCAGCAGCGCTCACGTACGGGTGATGTAGCCAGCTGTGGGGATGCAGATGTGTCCACATCTGGACAAGACGCGACTGAACTCACTTAAGCACTGTTGTTTGTTTCTATGTCACATCTCACGCTTCTCTGCGAGACGGGGCATACCGCGCAGCGTTGTGGCGTTTGCTCTTCGGAAGACGTTGTTGTGTGAACTGAAGGTTAGCTGACAACTTGGGTACAGGGAAGAAATGTTAGCCGTGGGTCACGCTGCAACCGCCAGTCCCTCCTTATGAAGGAGGTGGTCTTAAGCGAGACTAAAGCGACCCCGCTATTTGCTGCGTCTGGCCCGTGCGCTTCCCTGCTCCCCAGGAACAGCTTTTAAAGAAGGCTCTGGGATTGTCCCCTCCTGAGTCTTTGTCAAGACTGTCGCGACAGCTTTCCAGTTGGCTGTAGCCAGAAACACCAGCCGCGCAAAGGAGGGTCGGGGCTGGCTGGGCGAGTAAGGAGATCGCTCTTTCGTCAAAGCCCGTCTCTAAAAAGAAAGGGGAAAAAATGCTTATAAAAGTCCCTGCCTCTGCGGCATCGTCTCCTCCGCGCTGTTAAACAAATAAAGGAAGAAAGCGTTTGCTTTTCTTTTCTCGGGGGCAGCCCGCGCCCACGTGGAGCGGCGGCGGCGGCGGCGCGTGCGCAGTGCGGC